CTCTTCTGGTGCCAAGTCTGAGGTTCAGTAAATATTTTGGTCATGATTCGTAAGTGAATGTATTCCAGTTCTCATGTATTGTATAGATGGAGGGATGGAAGGACACATCATGGCGTTTCACCCCGCAAACTGTGATGCAGAGGTGGACTCGGGGTTCTTCGTGCCTTGTTCTGATGAGAGTGGTGTGCCCCAGTACCCCCCTCACACGTCACACAGTGACGATGCTTCAGAGTCCTGGATTGCTCTTACAGGAGTCATTCTCATTTGAAGATTTGTCCGTGGACTTCACCCAGAAGGAGTGGCAGCTGCTGGGCCCCCACCAGAAGGACTTATACAGGGACGTCATGTTGGAGAACTACAGCAGCCTCGTGTCACTGGGTAAGGACAGCTTCCCAGGGGACCTCAGATTGGGCTCAGTGCCTTGCTGTTTCTTTTTTAGTCGCTGAGAGTGTTGGGGCTTCTGAAATTTTTAATGATTTTAGACCTGAATTTAGGAGAGCAGAGTTCCTTGGACTTTGACCCCAGGGAAGGGATTTGGCTCTCCCCTTCCAGTAATGAAGTCTTAATTTTGTTGTGCAGCCTCTGAAACTAATAGTCCTCGGGGTGTGGGGGGTAGCAGGTAGTGCGTGTAACTTCCTCTGTCCACGTCCTGTTCATACGTTGACGCCTTTCATCGTCAGAGCCATCCTGCGTGGCAGGTGCATTTACTCGCCTTTTTTCTCTAGTGAGTAAATTGAGGCAAAGAGAGGTGAAGTGACTCCCAGGAACTGACAGCTAGTTAGTGAAAGAGCCTGGATTTGACCCAGGAGGACTGGCTCCAGAGCCTCTGGAGAGTCCTACGGTTTGGACTTGAATTAGAGTCCGAGATTCTTGGACCCTGTTAGGACCAGGGGGGCCATTGCTGTTTCTTTGAGGAGTATTTACTCTTGATACACAGACGGGTAGCTTCACTGGGCCAGCTCCGAGTCCAGCCCCTCCTCGTTCTTCAGAGGCTCTAGAGCCCAAGCAGTCAGCCAAGGCCTTTGTGGTTTCCCTGGACAGGGTATGAAGTTACGAAACCTGACGTCATCTTCAAGTTGGAGCAAGGAGAGGAGCCCTGGGTAGGCGATGGAGAAGTCCCTAGTTCCGACTCTCCAGGTGAGTGTGTGAGAGCCAGGTGGGCGGGAGAGGGTGGACGTTCACTCTCAGCTGTCAGTGTGTCGCGGTCTTTGAAATGTGCTTTAGCGAGCTCTTCTCAAAATCTCCAAAGCTTTGGTGGTGATTCAGAACAACTGACGTGAGCTCCTCAGGTAAATCGCACTCAGATGTGGCCTCTTGTTTGTAGCTTAAGCAGACATTTGTCTGGGCCGCGGTGTTCTTCCCCGCCTGCAGCATCTGGGCCTGGACTTCTCATGGGGTGTCCTGTCCCTCACGTGCTTCATCTCCCTCTGGCCTCCCCTCCCCTGTGGTCAGAGACACTGCTGCTGGTACATTCAAGAATTCTTAAAAAGAAAGAAAAGAGACATTTGCATCCAGCTCTTTTTTTTAATTCAGCATTTAAACAGTGTTTATGTCTCATTGCAGCGCAAAGTTAGTCCCCAAGACCATCCCATGTTCAGAGTCACTAGAAGGACTCAGAATATAGTTGTACTTGATGTTCAGATTTATTACAGTGACCTAATCAGGACACACAGCTTCACCCCAAGGGAAAAGTCACAGCAGACTCGAAGAATCCACTGCAGACTTCTTGGGCTCTCTCCCTCTACAAGGGCCACAGAGAGCTCACTCATCCCCCGGTGACGAAACTGCAGTGACGTGTGTGATATGTCTGCCCAGGGAAGCCAATGAGACTCACACCAGCCTTTCAGACCCTGGAAGGAGAGCATGGACTGTGTTTTTTGTACTCGGTCTGGGGCAGGGAGCCACTTTTATCAGGGAATGGTGGGGACACTCCCAAAACGCAAGTTCCCAAATGCCAGCCAAGGGCCACCAGCCTCACCGGCAGGCCTGTCTCTGCAGAGTGGTCTCAGGCCCAGTGCTAATTCTTTCTGCACAGGCTGCTGTGGCAGTTCATGGAACACCAAATATATGTAGATTTCTTCCATTTCTCCGGTGCTGTGCTGGGTGCGGTGGATACAGTAGTGAGCATTGGAGACATTCCCTGCCCGTGCAGTGCTTACTTTCTGGTGAGAGGATAAAAATGAACAAGTTAGCACATGACCTAGATAAAATGCAGACTCTGAAAGTGTGACTGTAGAAATAAATTAGGTGATATCAGAGAGAGTGTATTAGTCTGCTCAGGCTGCTGTAATGAAATACTACAGACTGGTGGTTAAACAACAGAAAGTGACCCTCCCTGTTCTGGAGGCTGGAAGTCCAACATCAAGGCGGCAGCATGATCAGATTCTGCTGAGGTCTGTCTTCCTGGATTGTAGACCCACCTTGTAGCCTTGTAACTCTGTCCTCACATGGCCTTTCCTCATTCATGCATGTTGGCGGAGTGGGGTGCTCTCTGGTGTCTCTTCTAAGGACACTAATCCTGTCAGATCAGGGCCCCACCCTTATGACCTCATTTAACCTTAATTACTTCCTTCAAGACCACATCTCCAAACACAGCCAAATTGGGGTTAGGGCTTCAGCAAAGGAATTTTGAGGGGGGGGGGGGCACAAACGTTCAGTCCATGACAGAGTAACATGGAGAAGCCAGTTCTGGACATGAAGACTGAAGTGAGAAGGCTATGTGAAGAACTGGGGGGAGGTGTCCCCAAAAGGAATGACAGATATGAATGCATTAGGAAGGGGCTCAGTGCCTGAGAAATGGAAAGGAGGGCTGTGAGTCACAGTCAGTGTGCCTGGGAGATAGAGGTGGAGAGAGTGCAGGGGCTGCATCGATCGTACATCAGCTTCTCAGCAATAGAAAGGAATCTGGATTGGCTTAAATCATTTTAAGTAAAAGTAAAGTTATCTGATTTGCATTTTTAAAAGTCAGTCTGACCACAGAATGGAAAATGTCCTTGGAGGCAGGGAAACCAATTAGAAGGATGTTTCATTGAGACAATACGATGGATTAAACTACAGCAGAGAAAATGATGGTGAGAGTCGGAGTATTTGGGACATACCACAAAGGACCGAATACAAAGAATCTCATTTTTCTCATGGGAAAAATTAAAAATTTGGAAGAAGGTAGACATTTCCAAATGTGTACTTAGTTTAGTAATGTTTAAAGTAACATAAAATTATAAGTTTAATTTACAAATCTTCCATTTTCTACGCTCTCATTTCCTGATAGACTTTATTCAGAGTTGTAATGTACGTCTCAAAATTAACATATCTGCATAGACTCTTGATGTTAGTCTCCAGACCTCTTTTTCCCTCAGTCTTTCCAACTCAGTAATTAACACCGTAATCCTCAAACCCCAAATCTAGGCATCTTTCTTTATTCCTTGCTTTCCCTTATCCCTTCATGTCAAATCCATCAGCAAATGTTGATTCTACCTCCAAAATATATATGGCCGATAGGCACTTGTGGGTTTCCTGCAAATTTATTGCCCTTGATTAACATTGAAGTCCTTAAAAGTTTTTCGCATTACTGATTACCTTTCATACCTGTGTGTATGACCTCAGAAAAAATTTCAAATATAGATTGTTAGTGAAAAATAAGCCTTTTGAAGAACACTTAACAGTGCATTGGTGGCTGTGTTGTAAGGATATTGGAAATAGAGCTATGTAATAAATGACACTCCAGCTGTTGGCATATTTTAAGAATGAGAACTGTGTCTTGGGATAGTTTCAGTGAAAGAATACATGGATTTTAGAGTTTTGTACCTGAACATTTTAAATGAAAGATGATGTGTTTTGAATATGTTACATGAAGTGGCTTTCTTGGTAATAATGTTGAAAATGTATATGGTAAGTTTAAGTAAAACTTTTCAGAAAATTTGAGAATAGGTAAAAGTACACAAAATATTTCTCATTCTTCAAGGTTGAAATGACTTTAGCCACTTAACTCTGTAAAACCTGTTAATTTTTTTCATAGTACTTTCCATAGTGTACGGTTGTGGTGTTTCTTAATATTATCTTTTTACTATCTTTTCCATTGGGATGTAAGTTTCATAATGGCAGGGGCTTGTTCTCTTGTGTCTCCAGCACCCCACACACTGCCTGGAACATGGTGTGTACTCAGTAGGTATTGAGTAAATAACTCCTCAGGACATTGGCTCAAAGCTTCTTCCAACCTCCTTTCATTGTTCTTGTATTTTTCACATTCTCTCCCCATTTTATAAACTTCAGTTTGACAGCAACCAAAGGTAACTTAATCTACTGTCTGTTTCCTGTTTCTGTTTACATCATTTCTTTTATTTTTTGATACCTAGAAGATAGACATTATATTTGGGACTTATGTCAGACTAAGAAACAAAGCCTTAAGAAGTATTCATCCTCAAATAGCATTTCTCATTTTTTATTCAGTGACCACAATGATAGAGGGATTCACAGGGTTTTTTTTCTTTATAGAACAACTCTTACAAGTAAGCAGTCACATGACATGGCACCAAGATAACCAAGAGAAGCTTAAAAACAGGAAACGAGATCATGAATGTGATGCATTTGGAAAAAATTTCAATCTGAGCATGAACTTTGTTCCTTTAAGGAAATCAAACAATGAAGCTGATGTAGATGGATTAATTTTAAAACATCATTTAGATTTACTTATTCCAAAAGCAGATTATGGAAAAACAGAACCAGGTGACCTCAATGTTTTTGATAAGTTGTTTCTCCATACCAGACCTGAGGAAACTGATGCTTGGTTAAAATACTATGAATGTGATAAATATGATAAAGCTAGCTGTAAGAAGTCACAGATTATCATATATCACAGAACTCGTTTAGGGGAGAAGCTCTATGAGTGCAGTGAATGTAGGAAGCGCTTCACTAAGAAATCTAGTCTCATTAAACATCAGAGCAGACATGTAAGAGAGATAGCCTATGGCTGTGGGAAATGTGGCAAAACCTTTCCCCAGAAGTCGCAGTTTATTACACATCACAGAACTCATACAGGAGAGAAGCCTTATGATTGTGGCCAGTGTGGGAAGGCCTTCTCCCAGAAGTCACAGCTCACATCCCATCAGAGGACACACACAGGAGAGAAACCATACGAATGTGGTGAGTGTGGGAAAGCCTTCTCCCGGAAATCCCATCTTATATCACATTGGAGGACTCACACAGGAGAAAAACCCTATGAGTGCAGTGAATGTGGGAGGGCCTTTAGTGAAAAGTCAAATCTCATTAATCATCAGAGAATTCACACAGGAGAGAAACCTTTTGAGTGCAGAGAATGTGGGAAAGCCTTCAGCAGGAAGTCACAGCTTGTTACCCATCACAGGACTCACACAGGAACAAAACCCTATGGATGTAGTGATTGTAGAAAGGCCTTCTTTGAGAAGTCGGAGCTCATTAGACATCAGACCATTCACACTGGAGAGAAGCCCTATGAATGCAGTGAATGTCGGAAAGCCTTCAGAGAGAGGTCAAGTCTCATTAACCATCAAAGAACCCACACAGGAGAGAAACCTCACGGATGCATTCAATGTGGGAAAGCCTTTTCCCAAAAGTCACATCTTATATCGCATCAGATGACACACACGGGAGAGAAACCCTTTGTGTGCAGTAAATGTGGGAAGGCCTTCAGCAGGAAATCCCAGCTCGTTAGACACCAGAGAACTCACACAGGAGAAAAGCCCTACGAATGTGGTGAATGTGGGAAAGCCTTCAGTGAGAAATTAAGCCTCACCAACCATCACAGAATTCATACAGGAGAAAAACCCTATGTGTGCAGTGAATGTGGGAAAGCCTTTTGTCAGAAGTCACATCTCATATCCCATCAGAGGACACATACAGGAGAGAAACCCTATGAATGCCCTGAATGTGGAAAAGCCTTTGGGGAGAAGTCAAGTCTTGCAACTCATCAGAGGACTCATACAGGAGAAAAACCCTACGAGTGCAGAGATTGTGAAAAAGCCTTCTCCCAGAAGTCACAGCTCAATACCCACCAGAGAATCCACACCGGAGAGAAACCCTATGAGTGCAGTCTTTGTGGGAAAGCTTTCTTTGAGAAATCCGAGCTAATTAGACATCAGAGAACTCACACAGGAGAAAAACCTTACGAATGCCCTGAATGTAGGAAAGCCTTCAGGGAGAAGTCAAGTCTCATCAATCATCAGAGAACACACACAGGAGAGAAGCCCTTCGAATGCAGGGAGTGTGGCAAGGCATTCTCTCGGAAATCACACCTCATCCCACATCAGAGGACACACACAGGAGAGAAGCCCTACGGGTGCAGCGAGTGTAGGAAGGCCTTCTCTCAGAAGTCACAGCTTGTTAATCATCAGAGAATTCACACCGGAGAGAAGCCTTATCAATGCACGGAATGTGGGAAGGCCTTTTCCCAGAAGTCACAGCTCATTAACCATCAGAGAACTCACACAGGAAAGAAGTCCTAGGCATGGAGTTAACATGAGTCTCTGAGGGAGATCTTGCCTCATTGTGCCTGAGAAAATGCAGTTGTGCTAAGTCAGATGACAGTCATATCTCCCTGTCTGTCTGGGGACGTTACGGTAGGAACTCTGAGTGAGGTTCTGTAGGGAACGCTTACAGCAGATGTTTGTACCTGTTTGTATCAGAATTCATAGAGTAGAATGAGCCTATGAAATGCAGTGGATTTCAGAAACCTCTCCAACCTTATACAGTAGAAAATGAACAGCAAAGAGGCACTGTGGACTATGGACATCAGAAAGCCTTCCAGCAGTCAGGGCTCATTAGCTTTTGGAGATATTCCCACTGGAGGTAAACCCTAGTCCAGTGAGGGAAGAAAACCCATGAATGCAGCAAGTGACATATTTTCATCCAGAAATGACAGTTCATTGTATGTAAGAAAATGCCCTCAGGAATGAAACGCTATGAACATACTAAATATGGGACAATCTTCAGCAAGTAATTCAACTGTATTAGATTTTGGAGAATTCGTATTGTGGGTAAACCTAATTTAATGTCATTGGAAATATGTGTCCCTAGAAATAATGCTACAAAGGGAAGGCATACAGTTTTTATAAACATGGGTACCAAAATACCCTATTTAAATGGTTGATGGATGTTCACTTTGAAGTATGAAGTTTTTAAAATATGTGAATAAATTGAATCATTGAAACATCTAAATAAGAAATTTCTCAGTGGTATTTATGGCTTGTTTTCCTGTGTCACATAATGTGTATTTTGGAATTGTATATGATGATGTAATTGGGAGCATGAAATGTACGTGGCCTTGTAGTGCCCCTGATGTCTGTGAAGACACAACACATGCAGCCGGTTTTTCTATTGTAATGATACTATAAAAATGGCAACTGATATAACATGTCTTATTGCTAAATGAGTAGCTTAAGTAATAACACCACATCTCTTTTTTCCTTACGGTTTGTTGGCATATAAAAGGGGTCTGTTGTTACTTTCTCTTCAGTAACAAAAGCCAAGCTTGTGTAAAGTCTTGTGCATCCTCAGAGTCTGAGAAACAGTTTCTATAAAACCCAGTTAACAAGTATTCAAAGCAGGAGCCACACAACAGCACTCTGCCCTGACACACTGAGTGAGCCGAAGGAGGCGGGCGAGAACTGTGACTTGGCACTCAGGCCACACCGAGGCAGCGCCGGGTGCAGCCTGTCCCCCAAGAAGGCCTCCATGCTGCACGCCAGGTGCAGTGCTGTGTAACGCGAGTGCAGCTTAGACTGCAGTGCACTGTAACAGAATGTCATGCGTGCTGAGTGCTGCTGCTGCATGTTTGATATTTCATAAAATACCTTGTAAAAAATTAGATGGAGAAACCAATTATTTAACAGTCACTCTTCAGAAAGTGTAAAATATAGAGAATTTTGTGGTGAGGAATATATTTTTGATGTATTCAAGGAAGCCTGTTTTGCCTTCCAGCAAATTTCTGTGACTACTGGACGAGTATTAGGGAACGGGAGTTTCATTATTTCATCATTTGAAATATTTGTGTCTCCTTCCTTCACAGTTGCATCATCCACACGAGAGACAAACAGTTACAGGGTGATATTTTACTTTGTGTTTTTTCCCCTTTTTTTCTTGCCATCTATCATGATTCTCTTCCCTAGTCCCAGAGATTGATTAATTAGGTCTTGGACTGAGCTCAGGAGTCTGGTCTAAAAGTTTCCTAATTTTGCTCACTCCAGTTCTAGATTATTCCATTAACCAGTTAAACCCAGTATTTCCTTCACTGGATAATGGAACTTCGGCACTAGCCTATTGATTGAATACCCTAGAGCAGGATCTTTTTCTAAGGGTCGGCTGTTAGTCATGGGGAGGGCTGACACTCCAGCTGAGGTCCAGTTTATCAGAAGGCCTGACGAGGAGACCCAGGCATGTGTAGGACTCACTGGGAGCATTCTGTTCTGAAGTGTCATGAGAGGGCTCTGATTCTGAAATTAGAGATTTTTAGTGTCCGTTTTTTAAATTACCTTGGTAAATCCCCCAAAATGTGTCCCCACATTTCCCCTCTTGATTCCTACCACAAACCCCACATCAAGAAGAAAACTAGTTTTAAAGTTAGGCCGGATTTACATACAGTTTCCTGGAGCCCGTGGGGTGCGCTGAGGGAGAGCACTCAAGGAGACAGAGAGGAGTCCCCACCTTTGCTTTCCTCTCAGTACCCAGGGCCTTCCACTCTCCCGGAGACAGTTCAACAGGGACAGTTTCTGCTGTGTTCTTTGACTAAGCAGTGGGTTTTTTGGAGGTGCAGTCTGAATTTTGGGGCCTGTCCCAGGAGTGCCTTCCGTTCAGCTTTTCTCTGTGGGCTTTGATATCTTCTGACATAGTTATGTCTGTATGGATCCATGTGTTCCTGGTATTTTGGTTTCGGGAACATCACTTGTCAATGCTGAGATGAAGTGAACCCAGAGAATACCAGATTTATCTCACAATGTCTGCGTTAAATAGCAAAATGTGGATCAATAGGCATTTGGAATCTACACTTGAGACCTCAGCCATCTGGTCATTCATTCCAGCAGTTGGTGCCAGGGTGTCAGTTTCAGGGGGCTTGTTAGTCCTCAAGTACGGCCCCAATCAGCCTTCAGACACTCAGCACCTTGTCCAGCCTGAGAGCTGGCGACCGAGCTCAGCCGTGACCCTGCAGCTGTGTGCACACGTTTTGCACCTTGCCTTCATTCTTTCTTAGTCCATTTTTCACACTTACACATAGTAGTTATTTTAAGATGCAATTCTGATTCCAAACCTGTGTGTTGAAATAATTGTGGACTTAAGAAAGTGTGGTATCATGGTATTGAGGACTTTCATACAAATCCATGCCTCTCCATCATTTCTGAATACTTTAACTTTCCTCCCACACATTTTTTTGGCCTTCTTGAACTACTCACAGTTCTTTGAGATTTCTACAGTCTCTCATCTTATGCTTTTTGCAAATCTATGGAAATGCCCTTTTTCCTTGTTAATGCCTACCCAACCTGTATGAACCTGTACATGTGTTTGTGACTGTGATAATATAATCATTGCATGTTTTATCTTTTCCACTAGAAAGCTTCTGGGAAGCTGGGACTGTCTTGTTTGTCTATATAATTTTAACAGTTGAAGCTGAAATATATACATGTGGGGGCTATCAGTGGCTGTGTTTTCTACCACTTGGAGAAGCAGAGTCTGCACTGGGAGAGAAGAATGAAGCCTTCACAGAAGCAAAGTCAAAGGACAGTCCTGACTGAGTCCCAGTTTCTGGTTTTTCTTGTCTTGCTGTCCAGATTCATCCCTGCCCTCTCCATGCCTTGATTGTTGGGTTCTTCTGTGAGATATCGCACATATCCTAATAAAGTTCCATGTTTGCTCCGTCTGGTTCAAGTTGTGTTTGTTACTTACAACCTGATATCTCTCACTAACAGAGCAAGTCAGGCTGTGTCGTAAATTGGGTTCTCTGGAAGCAGATACTGAGATGAAGTCTGGGGTGCAGGAGGTTTATTGAGGATCAGCGGCTGTGATGTGATGGGAGAAAAATTAGGAAAGGGTTGCTCAGAGGAAGAAGTCAGACTCCATTGTGGGTTGTTGAGACCTTAGCCACACCGTGAGGAGCTCTGCAGCAAGGATTGCTCGTGGAGCGTCTCCTGTTGGGCCTAGCCGGTCAGGCCTCCACAGCCGTGAGTTGCTCCGTCAACAGAGGCGGGCGAGCAGCCTTGGGAGGGGAGTGAGCGCAGGTGCAGCAGCTCTTCAGCTGGAAAGGCTGACACTGGAGGCGGTCTGCTGACCCTCTCCCTGCAAAGTGTGTCCTTGAAGAGGGCCTGGGTGACACATGGAGACTACACAGTCCATCCCTTCCACTGTTTAGATTCATTTTCCCAATATTAGGTCTCTCTGAGGACAGACTACAGCCCCTACTGTTGGACTTGTTTTCCCTCACCTAATATCCATTCCAGGTTTTCCTCACACAGTTACCCCCTCTGCTGGCATCCATGGCTCTCTTTTTTCATTTTGTTTTGTTTCTTTTTTTTTTTTAATTTTTACTGGGTTAATGATAGGTTACAATCTTGTGAAATTTTAGTTGTACATTATTGTTTGTCAGTCGTGTTGTAGGTGCACCCCTTCACCCTTTGTGTCCACCCCCCACCCGACCTTTCCCCTGATAGCCACTAATCTGTTCTCTTTGTCTACATTTTTAAATTCCTCATATGAGTGGAGTCATACAGAGATTGTCCCTCTCTATCTGGCTTATTTCACTTAACATAATTCCCTCAAGCTCCATCCATGTTGTTGCAAATGGGACGATTTTGTTCTTTTTTACTGCTGAGTAGTAGTATATTGTATATATATATACCACATCTTCTTTATCCAATCATCTGCTGATGGGCATTTAGGTTGCTTCCACGTCTTGGCTGTTGTAAATATGCTGCAGTGAACATTGGGGTGCACAGGACTTTTCATTGTGGCTCTCTTGATGGCATTATGCAGACTCTCATTCCTGAGGACATCAGCCCTGGTCACCATTCCCTTCAGACTCGAGTTGATGTAATTCCATTACCATCACAGCTGGTCAAGGACGTCCCAAGGAGCACCTCAGTGGATCACCCGAATCCACTCCTGTGCCTCCCCCACCCTGTTGTGTAACAGCTGCCCTGCCTGCTCCTCCTCATGCGTCAAATGCCCTGCAAGGACGGTGACACCTCCCCTGACCTGCTGGCCCCTAGACACGGGGAGCACAGTTCCCATGTCCTATCTGTAGCTTACAATTAAGTCCCTTGGTGAAAAGTGTGTCCCCGTTGGGGATGAAGACCTCTAACTCCACTGAGCCCACAGTTGTGGATACAGGAAGCACACAATGCCATGGAGGGTCGTTGGTAATGGCGGTTGGTGACGCCATTCCTGCTTCCACACAGTGGTCCCTAGACCCGTGTATCCTTCCATCTTGGGGACACAGCACCATGTAAAGGTCTTTCATCTAGTACATATGCTGCATCTGAAAGATGGCACCCTTTTCTGAGGACGTTGCTTCTGAGCTGGGGCTTCAGCTGTGCTGTCACTAGGCCATTCCAATGCTCTCTTGCACCAGCAGCTGCTGTAAGGTGAGGCGTGTGAAATTTCCGGTGCACCCTTTTGTACTGGGCGTATTCCTGCATCCGCTTTGCTGCAAAGACCCCCTCTGGTCTGATGCAGTATGTGTGGGCTCCCATACCGGTTGATGAGACATTTTTAAGCCTTTGGATAGTGGTGCTTGCTGAGGCCCTGTGGACAGGAGAGAAAACCCATACCTGGAATACGTGTTTGTTGTTTCCTGTGAGAGCAAACACTAGCCTTTTCAAGGCCAAAATAGTCAAATTGACACCAAGTGCCAGTTGGTCTTCTCAAGGAATGATGCCATGTTGGGGCTCAGCCTCCATCTCTTGTTTTGGACATTTGGTGGTGGCAGTAGCCAGATCAGCCCTGGAGAGAGATTCTGTGCTGCTGGACGGGATCGACGTTCTGGGCAGTCAGTCACCTCTGCGTCAGATCGCTGGTCTTTGGTTAAGGGCCACCATAGTGGGGAAGGCTAGATGGAAGGCTCTGCAACTTACCTCCCAGGTAAAATAGTAAATAAAAGACAATACTCCATTCAGGGGAGGGGAGGGAGGGAGGGAGGGAGGCGGAGATTCGTGCTATTCCTACAAGATGCAGTGGTGGTGGTCCTACCACAGCCCTGTTTCATTCAGGAGTAAAGACCTTGTAGAAGCCCAACGACTCCTGGCGAATGATTCTAGACCCGACACAAGCTCAGCCAATAGTAGCTTCACTTGCAGACATAGCATTGTTTCTAAAGCAGATTTATATGCCCTCGGGTACATGGTATGCAGCATTCCTTTTGACAAATGCATTCTTTTTATCCGACTCAGGAAAAAAGATCAGAGAAGGTTTGCATTAACACGGAGCAGACATTATACTCTCACAGTGTTACCCGAGGGCTGTCGTGGTACAGTCTGAAGAGACACAGACTATTGGACCTTCCACCGAACATCACAGTGACCCATCACAGCAGTGAAATCACTCTGGTCAAGCAGGATGAGCAAGAGGTGGCTGGCACGTTGGAGACCCTGACACCCTACATGTGTTCCAGGGGATGGGCAACAAGCCCTGTAAAGGTTTAGCAACTTACCACAAGAGGTAGCACATGGTTCCGATTTTTGCATTATATATTTCCTTTATATATTATTTAGGAAGTTTTGGTAGGCTGTTTCTCTAGTTATTTATATATTTATTGACTTCAAATTATACATGTTTTCTTATTAATTTTGGAATATTTTCTGTAACTAGTTATGTTGAATTTTTCATTATAATATTTATTGGTACATTCTGTTTTATTCTTTCATCTTGGCAGAAGTTTGTCTATTAGCTTTTACAGTGAACAAGATGATGATTTTGTTGATCTGTCAGTATCATTGTTTCTGTTTAGTTGATTAGCTGAAAGCTGGACTTGACAGAGGCCATTACTAAGATGTCAGAAATTCCTTGGTATAATATAGAAATTTAAGGAAATATGATTGTTGATATAGATTTGTCATGAGTAATCCACTCACCAATTCCCTCAATTTTGACCTCCAAGAGGGGCCAGAAGACACTTCTTTTACCAGGGCATTGAGAAATTCCTGGGTGAGGGGATCACCAGCATCCTGTAAAAATGTGCTTATGGGGGCTGGCCCTGTGGCACAGTGGTTAAGTTCCATGCACTCTGCTTCAGAGGCCTGGGTTCACAGGTTCAGATCCCAGATGCAGACCTACACCACTCGTCAGCCATGCTGTGGAGGTGTCCCACGTACAAAGTCAAGGAAGACTGGCACAGATGTTAGCTCAGGGCAAATCTTCCTCACACATGTACAAAAAATACAGGAACTGGATCTTCTTGAGGATAGACCCTGTAATTGGCTCACTACTGTAAAACTTAGGAACCACCCACAGGCCATTTTACCACTCTGTCAGGCTGACTGCTTCTGAGTAAGCAAATAAATGTTAATACCAGTGGTCTTAACCACGATCACGATCCCATTGTTACGCTTTCTTTGCCTTAAAATGGGTCATTGGACCTGAAGCTAGCTGACACGCATGGGATGACTCGCACTGTCCTCCGTGTGCTTTCCCTCCTCTTCTCGGTGTTACTGTGAGACGTGAGAGTCCACGCACTTTATGTCCACCACCAACATACAGAGTTCAACCACATCACCTTCTCCTCAAACTTCCTTGTCCCTGATGTTCCAGTTTTGTTTCCATCAGGAGCCTAACAAGCAGCCAAGTCAGTTACCTTACTAACTTGACAGTTAGTGTCTATTCACATTTCCAGCCATCCCAGCTTCCATATGAAGTAAATTCCCAAGGGTACCTCGCTGTGACTACTGGGAAAGTTTCCCTCTGACTGTCCTTTAGGGTCTTCACAAAATGAGGGGCTAACATGTATCAGCGGTCCTTTCCGGATGGCGCTGATGCTTTTGTGAACTGGGCCTGAGTTGTTTCCTGTGCTGCCGGGTGGTCGTAGGGAAGCCCAGGAGGCCTAACTGCCTGCTGAAGGGAAGGCCGCAGGCATCTGGACTCCCGTTCACACTTCACTCAGGCTCTCTGGGCTTTCCAAGGCCTGATCCCAGAACAGGGAGTCGCAGCAGCAGTCAGTGAGCCTGATGAGACGTCTCGTGACGGCTCACAGCAGCCACGTGCCACGTGGTGGGCCAGTGTTCCGTGTCTGAGGGGCCTGCAGTGTGCCAGAATCCATTTTTCAAATGTGTCCTCTGCCACAGAAGCCAGGGCCTCACTACAGAATCCCAGAACCCTCTAGCTCTGCCAGAGGTTGAAGTGGACTCCACGCGGCATCCTTACCTGCCTCAGAGGCGTCTCCCTCAGCCGTCTGCTGCACCGTGTGGCCTTGCGTGTGGGATATCCTGCACGCGCCCTGGGCCTGCTGCAGAGCCCAAAACTGGAAGCCTTCCAAGCTACCCAAGAAATTGGTCAGAGAGGAATTTCCATACTGTGCGTTCCATACTGCCTTCCAAATGCAGAGAGGTCCACCAAGCCGTGTACCTCTTTCTGGTGTGGGGTGTGAATTTTAATAACTTGTCCCTTACCTTGGAGGGATGTCCTAGCATTCCTCAGTTCACTAAACTTCTAAACATGTCACTGTTACGAGGCCCCTAAATTTTTGCGGGGTTCACCTCGCACCTTCTGGCACATGTGTGTGTTATCCTGGTGCTTGCTGCTGCTTGCACAGCAGTTACAGACCCGTCCTCCACAGGGCCCAGGCCCCAGGCCAGCATCTCTGACCAATTTCTGCCTGCTATGGGGTTATGCCTGCTGGTGACAGATTCTTACTTTTCCTTCATCTGAAGGTCATCATCGGGACGTCTCTGTTTCTCCTTCATTTCTGAAGAGTATTTTTGCTAGATAGAGAATTAAGCATTTACAGTTTTTTTTTCAGCACTTGGAAAATGTGTCACCTCATTCTGGCCTCCATGGTTTCAGATGAGAAATCCACTGTCACTTAATTGTTCCCCTATAGGGAATGTATTGTTTCTCTCTTCAAATCGAACAGTCACAATTGAATTTCTAATGAATTTTGTATAGGGAATTTGACAGTATTATTCTAAAATTTATCTAGAAAGGCAAACTCATAAGAATAACCTAGAAAAATTAGAGAAGAAAGAATAAGAGGGGTCATGCCCTACCAGAAAGCTATAGTAATTAAAACAGTGTGATACTGGTACATGGATAGATCAGATTAGTGGGACAAAACAGAGGACACTGAAAGAGACCCCAATCTAAGGGAATTTAGTATTAGAAAAGTATAGGATACATTTTAAAACTTGGTATGTGGATACCCTCTCTAAACAAGAGAAGTTCAAAAGCCAAATGGGAAAAGACTGATAGATTTGACTGAATAAAAATTTCAAAGCACACACCTGCACCACTGCACTGCATACAAAAGGAAAATACATTCCGAGGGAAAAAATGACTTGTGAGAATATGCTGTATCTGCAACAGTTATATTTATAGAGACAGAAAATCCCATCACACAAAGAGCCCCTTCAAATCACTCATAAAGATACAGGGATCCTAATAGGAAAATGAGCAAAGGGTATGAACAGGTATTTCACAGAAGATAAATAAGAACTAGTCAATAAGCAAAGTTACTTATTCTCACACAAAGTAAGTTAAAACAAGTTTTTTAACTCACCATATGACAAAAATTAAATTTTGATACTATCCATTGGTCATTCAGTGAATAAATTCGTTGAACCCTTGCTCTGTGTCAAGCATATGCTAGTTAAGGGCATAATGACAAGCAGAACAGTCAGTCTCTGGACTCAGTGCTTTTAGTCTAGTGAGGGTGACAATTACTAACAAAATACACAGATGCCCATATATAATTACAAACATAATTGCAAATTATGTAAACACTAGAGAGAGTTAAGTATAGAAATCAGTGAGAGTGCACAATCAAATGGACCTTACTCAGAGATCACAATGGGATCAGCGAACACTGCTCTGAGGAAGAGTTGTCTGAGATGAAATATAAAGGATGAAATCAAATGAACGAATGAAATTATGGTGTGAAGGGACCGATAGCCTTTTCAGGTAGAGCAAATTAACATGCTCAAAGGTCCTGAGATGTGTGGCTTTTGGGGAAAGGAGGTTAGCACAGTCAGAGGAGAGTAATGTAAGAGCTTGAACAGACAGATGCAGCGTCGTGGACCATGTTAAGGACTTTGCCTTTACTTCAGGGCAATCAAAGGCCATCAAATTGTGTTAAGCAGAGGAATATGTTTGTAAGTGGTTTTATAAACATCAGGCTGAATTGCGTGTGAATAAAAGATTTGGGGAAATGGATGTGGTGAAGTTATAGCAAGATTCCAAGTGAGAAAAAAATAGTTTGAACAAGATTAGTAGTTAAGATTAAACAGGATACATGTCAATCTCATCATGTCCCAAAATAAACTCGTTTCTTCTCTCCTAAATTTTTTTGTGTTTCCCTGTGTTCATCATCTTAGTGATTTTTTAAAGTGATTATCCAAAAGATATGGGCAAGTTGTCTGTGGTATAAGTGGAAGTTGAAGTCATGAGAGTGGCTAATACAGTGCTCCAAGAGGTTTTAAAGAATGAACCTCTAGAAACATTTCACCCAAGCAAGAAACCTAGCTCCTCCTTCTCTCCCATCTACCATATCCATGTCATTACTTAGATTCTTCCTTTAAATTGTTTCTTGAATCAGTCTCCCCTAACCCCCATGCACTAGTTCTGATCAGTCTCCAGAAGACAGAGCTACTATTTCACCTTCATTGGCCTTCCTGGCTCAAGTCCTCCTTCCCTTCAATTTACCCTTAACACCGGGCACTAGAACGCAAATATGACTATATCTTACCCCTCCTTACGACTTCAATGTCTTCTCATTGCACAACATGCCAAGTCTTTCACAAGGCCTTGCTTGCTTTTTCAGTTTTTTCTCTTTTTGCACTAATACCAGCTCAGCACCAGGTTGACATAAGGGAAGCCATATTGTAGAAAAGAAACCATATTCTAAGTGTGAATGACTGCTGATTGACTAACCCAGCTGGATACCACCCTCCCCTCCAGGAGATCCACCTGCTCTGTAGATTTTATGGCCCCTCCCAGCTGTGATGAGTTGGTAACTTTGTTCTGAGTTCCTTAGGAATGTGATGACCCCAGGCAGAGTCTATGCTGACAGCCATCATCAATGACAACTGAAAGATGTGGTGTGGTGACTCTGGCAATTCTTTATAATTAAATTGGGGATCAAGAGTGTCTAAACTGTATGCATCAGTGACTCAACAGCCCCCTCTCCAGAGTCATGGGGGCAAAACAGAAGTGACTCTGATTCATTCCATTGTCCCCCTCCGTGAACCCCATTCAGCAGGAAGTAGCCAGACAAGACGACCCTGTTCTCCTTAACAGCAGATGATTATGCTAGGTTACAACTGACAGTGGGGAGTCATTGGTGCCACTCACGTAGACAGTAATCTTTACTATACATATTAAAGATTTTATTATTATCTTTAAATCAGGGTATAGGGCATTGCTCTGATCTTTGATGTATATCCAGTGAAACAAAAGATTATCAGGAACTAAGAACGGATGTTTGCCCCATCCGGAGACCTGCCCCTATCTAAGTGGCCCGTAGTCTTTGTCGTGTAAGACATTCTTGGAGACATCAGCTATCTTCTCGCTTGCTAGCATCTGTAATCAAGCCCTTACTACCACCTGGCCTCTCCACTGCTGCGTCTTGAGGCGGGCATACGACTCCCCTTGGGCGGTGACACCATCTCTTCCTTGCCTTCTTTCCACCAGGCCAGTGAATTTCTTTCTTTTTACCGTCTTCCAGTTTTTACAATGGGCCATTTTTCTTTCCTGCCTCCAAGTCCTGTTCTCACAAACTGTTCCCTCCACCTGGAGTAATCTTCCCTGATTGAGTGGGCCGACTCTTTCCTAACCGCTTCGTTTCAGTACAAGCTTTGTCGCCCCGCCTCCCGCCCACTCAGACTCCGAGCTCTTCGCCGGCAGGGAGGGGTCCGACTCGCTCCCCAGACCCCCGCCGTGTCCCGGGACAGCGTCCCGCGCACCAAGGCGAAAGGCGCCCTCGGGTCACTCGCCGCGCAGCCGTTTTAGCTGCTCTTTCCGCAGGGCTTCAGGGCGGGTCAGAGCCCGGGAGCGTGAGGAGCCGGGGCCGCCCTCGGGGCTGTGTTCCCTCAGCCCGAGGGTCTGTGACAACTGCATCTCGTTAGGACAATTGTCGGAGGCTGCGGGTGTCCGATGGAAGTGCCACGGCCGCAGTCGGTGCTGGGAATTGTAGTTGTTTGAGGGTGGACCTCTTGGTCTCAGGCTGAGGGGCGTTCTGGGAGTTGTAGTTACCTGAGGTCAATGGCCTTTGTCTCAAGGCGTCATGAGCTCCGGCGCGGGGCATTTTGGGAGTTGTAGTGTGTGTGTGTGTGTGTGGGGGGGGGGGGGGGGGGGGGGTGGGGGGGGGGGGGGGGGGGGGGGAAGCACTTCCTTCCCGCGCAAGCCGCAGGGGGTCCGGCAAGTGCAGCGTCTGAGCCCGGCGGTCGCTGTCTCGCGCCGTGGCACGGCGTGGGCGCGGGGCGTTCTGGGAATTGCAGTGTGTATGTGGGGAGCCCTTCCTTCCCCGCGGAGGTCGCAGTGGGTCCTGGGAAGTGCAGCGTCTGAGCCCGGCGGTCGCTGTCTCGGGCACCGTGGGCGTGGGCGTGGGCCCGGGCGCGGGGCGTTCTGGGAATTGTAGTGTGTGTGTGTGAGGGGCGTCCTTCCTTCCCCGCGGAGGCCGCGGTGGGTCCGGGAAGTGTAGGCTCTGAGGCCTGCGGCCGGGTACACGGGTCCGGTCCTTGCGGCTCCGGAAGGCGCGGTTTGCGCGACGCGAGCGGCAGATCCGCAGACGCAGAGCCGAGTCGGGTTAGGGAGCGCCGAGGGCCGGAGGCGGCGGGCCCGGCGCCCGGAGCGCTCGGCGGCCGTTCTGCAGGGAGGGAGCCCCTGCGCCGAGGCCGTCTCCCCCACCGCCCTCCGGGCGCCATGTCTCAGGTAAGCGGCCCGGCCCGCTTTCTCGCGCGCCGCCGCGTCTGCGGACGTGGGGACGCCGGCCGTCCGCCCGCAGGCTCGCGGGGCCCGAGGCTGACCGACGACCAGGGAGGCCAGGGCTCGCTGGGCCTGCCCGGCCGCGCCTCTTGCTTTCCCGGCGTCCGCGTGCGGCGCCTTCGTCGTGGCCTCAGGCGCGACCCGGGACCAGCGGCCCAGGCGTCGCCTGAGGACCTGCCGGCAGGGGGCTCCCGGCCCGCGGTGTCCGCCCGCGGCCCTCCAGGTGGCTCGCGCCCACACAGGACGGCGCCCTCGGCGGGGAGGCTCGGGCTCGGCGCAGTCGTGGGCCCGGCGGCGGCGCGAGGCCGGCCGCCCGCCAGTGCCTGCGGTTAGGTCCGCCTCTCGCTCCCGCGCTTGCCCTGCTGGTCTTGAAGCCCCGAGGCTCTCCGGCTCTTGCTGGGGCGTCTGTTCCACCTGTGCTGCAGATCCCACTGTTTACGAGACAGCTTCATTTATTAGTCAATAGTCTTTATTAAAAAAATTTAAACTGTAAAATAAGACTCTGCCCTACGTGTGGTCTGGGACCTTCTAAAATTCATGGCCATGCCTAGCGTGCTGTGGATCATTCAAGTGGTGCAAAACCCGGCTGCAGAGCAGCGGCTTATTATCCGCGTAACCTTGCGGGGAAAGCTTAGGCTCCGTCCCGGGGGGCGCTCGCCCCTCTTGGAGAGCGCCTGGGACTGCGCTGTTGCTGCGGTTGCCGCTAAGTGTCCCAGCTCTGCCTACAGCAATGGGGATGGGGGCGATCAACTCGAGCGCGGAGCTGCCGTTATCTGCTACAGCCAGTTGTTACCGTGAAAAATTCTTGCCAAGTCGTATTAAAACAGGCTAGTATTCAGAAAAATATACATCGTCTGTTAAACATGAATGAATTGTCTTTACTATTCATAAAGTATTCTAAGATCTTAAGAATTTTTACAACCAAAGCCAGAAATCCACGTTGTTCACATGTATGATCCTTTATCTTTCACAAAATTGTAAGTTATCTCAGGACAAATCACGTGTTTTCTCCTTTTCTCCAGCTGTACAACAAAACCAAACAGCTAGGCTCTTAGTAATACTCTCAGTAATTACTCAGAATTCTGAAAACTCCCATTGCCACTGCTGACATACCACTGTCCACCCTCCACAATGGGCCTCGTCTCACCCCTTGGTCAGGGCCTTTGGGAGCGCGGGTGCTGGTTGTGCGGATGTCTGCATGTTCTCTCAGGGGTCGGTGACATTCGGAGATGTGGCCATAGACTTCTCCCGGGAGGAGTGGGAGTGGCTTCAGCCTGCTCAGAGAGATCTGTACAGGATTGTCATGCTGGAGAACTACGGCCACCTGGTCTCCCTGGGTAAGTACTCATCTCCCCTCAGTCAGAATCTGACCCTTAGGGTGGCTGTTGTGAATCTTGATTATCAGGCTGAATATTCCCAAGGGAGGTGTGTTTTTGTTTTTTTAGTTTTTAAGATGTAGATTACAACTTCACCTGATCTTTAGACATCTTTCATACTTACATCTGGCATTTCTTTTAATGGCCCCCTTTTCTGAGGATTTAAGGACTGATTTTGAATTTATTTCATTTTCTGTAAGCAGGTCTTAACGTTTCTAAGCCAGATGTGGTTTCCTTATTGGAGCAAGGGAAAGAGCCTTGGTTGGGGAATGGAGATGTGAGAAGAGATCTCTTTTCAGGTGAGTGAGTTAGATGCTGGTGGGGAAGATTTTTAAAATAACAACTAGTCAATGAGAAAGCAATATTTTTTTATATGTTGGTTGGAAAGTTTTCCCTTAAAGATGCTAGAGATACAGAGACTGTGAAGTCTTGCCCACAGCTCCTAAGGGACCACTTTACACCCACTTGCCAGTCTGCCTTCAGTTCTCATCTTATCCTTTCCCCACTTTCTCACAGACAGATGTGTCCTTTCTTTGCATTGTTAGCTCTGTCTGGGTGCTGAACCTCATTTCTTTTTGATTTCTCCTTTCTTGAAATTGATGTATGTTTCTATTCCCTAAATTAAAAGGTATATTGTTTTTTCATATTGCTGTTCTATTTAATCATCTTGGAAAGGTTAATTCAATACCCTTTGATTAACTGATGGCTTCATTCATTCATTCATATATTCACTTAACAATACTTATTGAAATTTTAATCTCGTCAAGACTTTTTATTAGGTGCTATAGAGACTATAAGTCATACAAAAGTGTAATAACTGTCAAGGAAGTTATGGCCTAGTGAGATAAAATGGGTCTGTAAATGATTTTGTTAGAGTTGGCAGTTCAGCAGTGAGAAAAAAAGAATTTCCAAGTGGTGTTTTAGGCCTGGATAATTTGGATAGGGATTATAGTAACAGAAACACAAGAGATGGGAACAGGGTTGGTTTTGTAGAAAAGGTGATGAATTAGTTTGAGATATGCTTGATGTGAGTAGAGGATGATATTCCCAAGTTAAGATGTGCAACACACTGTTGGAATATATCTTAGAAAAAATGCAAGTTAAAGATGTAGGTGTGGGAATCTTATATTAAGAAGCAAAAATTGAAGCCATGAGGTTGAGAAGTGCTCTGAAAGCCTTTTTCACCTTAGGTGGACAATAGAATTGCTGGTGAAGCTCTTTAAAAATAAATATGGCCACCCCCCACCCTTGCAGATTTTGACATGGAAGATCTCTGGAATTTATATGTATTTATGAAAAGTTCCAAAAGTTCTATAGATGCTTCTGAAGCAAACTTCCAGCGGAGGCATCCTGGCCTCTAGTGGTCCTGTTGAAACAGCAGGAGGAAAGCTTACAGGGAAGCAGCAGCCTGGAAGGCCTGCTGAGGGACCAGGAGAAGGTGCCACGAAAACTGAGCGCTGGCTTTAAGGGGAGACCTGCAGGAGGACACAGCAGAGGACGTGGAAGGAAAGGACTGATGGGGGCTGAAGTCACGAGGGGGAACGAGGGCAGGGAGACTTCATTTAATGTTTGAGTGGAAGAAAAATGTCCTTTTCTCAATGTTTTTAAAATAATAAAACCAATAAAACTATGTACAGAGGAAGTGAGGTAAAGGACAAATGGAAAAATTGTTTCTAATTCTATGACTGTAATACAGCTCTCACAGTCTGTATTCCTTCCAGTACTGTTTTTGGAAGGTGAAATGTCATACAAATATTGCATAAAACATAAATGTGCAGCTTTCAAAATTATTAACAGACACCTATGTAACTGCCACTCAGGTCAGTAAACAGAACACTGCCAGGTCCCTAAGAGCTTTCTGTGTCCTCGCCAGTCGTCACTCCCCCCCGGCCCAAAGGGCATGGTCTCCTTACTTTAATGCTAGTAACTTCCTTGGTTTTCTTTAGAGCTTTATCAGCTGTTTGTATATCTGATCACTACAGTTTGGATTTGTATGTTTGTGAACTTTATATAGAAGGGCTTATAATGTATGTATTGTGATTTGCTTCTCAAGATTATTTTAAGATTTATGCATTTTGCATATTGCTCTAGCAGTTTGGTTCATTGTACAAGTACACCCCAATTTACCCATTCTATTATTGAAGGCTTTCTTGGTTTGTTTGCAATTTCGGGCTGTTTGCAAGCAGTGTTGCTGTTGTCCCGGTATCCTGGCACATACCGGCACAGGTTTCTAGGACTGGAATTGCTGGGTCAGAGGCTCATGCACCTCTTCCCCATCATTAGATAATGCTGAAATGTTTCCAAAGTGCTTTTACTGACTTACACTCCCACAAGCACAGGAAGTGCGCTCCCCACACTCACACTGTGCAGTACTGTCAGGCACTGTTTATTCACCTCTCAGAAGAGTGTGCAGTGCCGGCTTATTGTGGTTTTAACTTGAATTTTTCTGACTACTGATGAGGTTGAGCACCTCTTCACGTGTTTATTGGACATTGAGACACCCTCATTTGTGTAGCACCTCTTGAAGGTTTTGCTCATTTATCTACTGGATTCTCTGTCTTCTCTTATTTGTAGGAGTTACATATTTTGGATACAAATCCTTTGTTGATTATATTCATTGAAAATATCTTCTCTCATATGTGGCTTACTTTTCCCCTTAATACTGTCGTTTGATGAACCAAAATTCTTTAGTGTAGTCAGATTTATGAGTCTTTCTCTTTATGATTAGTATTTTTTGACCTGTTTAAGAAATTTTTCCCTACCGTGAAGTCATGATGAAAACATTTTCCTAGATTTTCTCTTTAAAAAGCCTAGTCATTTTGCCATTCACATTTAGACCCATGGTCCACTTGCAGTTTATTTTTGTTTGTCATGTGAGTTAGTGGTCAATTTTGATCTCTTCTGTGTAGAGATCCACTTATCATGGCACCATTTATTGACATGCCTGTCCTTTCCCTCACTGTTTTAAGTTTGTTTTATGAGTTAAATGTCAATTTTTGTGTCTTTCTGGGTTCTGTATTCATTTTTGTCTGTTTTTCTATCTTTGCATAAATTTGTACAGTCTTAGCTATGGATTTAATAATGGATAATATTTTACAGTATTTGCCTCACCCCACTCCTTTTTTTGCTGAGTAATTTAAAGTGAATTACAGATATCTTGACATTTCACTGCACAGTGCTTCACTATCATGTATAAAGTGTAGGGTCATTTTCTACCTATCGAAATACCATTTTCATACTAAAAGAACAGTTTTGCCTAGTATTTTTTTAATGCACTGTCCATATATACACGCTTCATAAATCTGTTTTATATAGCTGGATAGTCTTTTTCCTGTGGGGTGATGAAATTTTCCTGTTTCTCTGTATGTCCTATAACTTTGGACTGTAATCTATTCATTTTGATACTTTAAGACTTTGCTTCTTGTTTAAATCCTGTTGAGATGTTAACTTTATTTAAGCAGGCTGTTGACATGGACAAGTTGAGGCCACAAGTTCTAACCTGTCTTTTACCAAAGCCTTTGTATGCCGGAGTCCTGCTCCAGCCGAGTCCAGGTTCCTGAGGGAGGGACGGAGTCGGCGCAGTGAAGGAAGAGACGTGAGACTTGAGTCGGTGTAATCAAGTCTGTCTTTACTGTGCACAGTGTCGTTTTTATATTTTTCAGGATTAGTACAGAAATAGCTCTACAAATATTCTCAGAGAGATAAGGAGATACAAAGTGAGCACAAGAATATTTATTAGCATTCCATTCTATAGAGCGTAAGGTTAATGATCGTCTTCTCTGCAATTAACTATCGTTTATTGTCTCTAAACGAAAAGAGATAGGTACCTTGACATCTGTTGTAATTCATGGTAAAGTTAAATCAAAGAGAGAAGGTCCAGACCTCTGGTCAGGACAGCATTCCGTCTGTTCACGTCCTGGGGGAGCTACCCCTGCCTCCATCAATCGTCCACGCCATTAGTCTAGATGGTTAATGGGAACAAAAGGCAACTCGTGGGTATCTTATCCCCAGGGCTACATGCGTTCTCAGCGGGTAGTTAAAATTCTTTACATTACCCTTATTTACCCTTATTTACCCTTTATTATTACCCCATTATTTACCCTTAGGGGGTGAAAGCATTCCTTTGTCTTTCAGGGGGTAGGGCTAATTGTCCCTTGAGCACACTGCCCGGAGAAAATATCATTTTGCTAGTAAGGCTGAAAAGCTAAGTTAAACTATATATATATCTTCAAGAATAAAAAGCAGAAACAAGTATAGTCATAACCTTGATAGAAAGCATGTATACATTTCAGAAAATATCAGGGGTGTCGGCCGGCCATTCTTCACTGAGGGGCGTCCCTGCGCCCCTCGGCCCTTCTCAGCCCGGGCCCTGTCAGACGGCTGTATAGGCGTTGGTAACACGGCTCCCGGCATTTGTAGGTCTACTGTATTTGTCCCACACATGCACCTCCTAGTGGTCTTCCTGGAACTTGGGCAGTGGGTCCCCCTGTGATTCAGTTCTCACAGCTTTTATTATATTATTTAGGGTCAGATCCATGCATGCTCAACTCAGGGATGAGCTCAGGATTTCATACACAACTTTATGGGATCACCTTCTTGAGCGCCTTTCTTCACAATCTCCCCTACCCTTTTTGGCTCCTAGGGTCCCTTTTTCTTCAAGTCGTCTGGATAGAAAGCCAGACCTTTAGTTTCTCCTCTGCTTTGTACTTCTGCAACTGTGTCTCCCTCTGCAACCAAGCAGCAAGCAACAAGGGGATAGGGGGGAAAAAAAAAGGTTATTACTCCTGTGCTTTTGGGACCCTAGATTTTTCTGCTAAGAGAAAGGTTACTCTGCCTTAGAGTTTTAATTGTCTGTGTGGCCACGACTGCTGCAGGATGCCTTGGGGTTGGGCTGGAGAGAATGGGAAATGAACAAACAAAAAATAAGGTTTCTCTGACCAGTACAGACCCTCTTCCCCATTCCTCAGACCAGAAAAAGAGGCTTCTCTTGGAGCTCTTTCTCCTCACACCTGCTGCACAGTTCTTGCTTTCAGGCTGCCTTTGGATTTAGGCCTGGAGAGACTGGAGGGGGCAAAAAACCCAAGAAAATCACCACCAGTCAGTGTTAGAGTTCTGGTTTCCTTCCCCAGTCAGCTTGCTACCACTGTTCAGTCCTCAGATAGCTGCTCTACGCGTTCTGTCCACGGTTTTTACTTGCATTCAGTGGGACAGAGCGGTAGGTGTGTACTTACTCCATCTTTGTAGGACTAGAACAACTCATCCTGTATTCTATAAGTGAAAAACACAATATTACAGCATG